CAACAAATGGTTCAGTTTTTTGTGTTTCCTGAAAAATTGCAAAAAATGACTTAGGCAATTATTTTAAGAAGGTGACGATAAGACAATTAAAGGACAAGTGATTTATCATAAAGAAAATAAAGGTAGTGAATTTAGTTATTCTTCTGCTTTAAGATATTGGTCTTTTTTTATTTATTTTATATTATTGTCATAAACAAGGTTTTTATGTTTAATAACCAAAAAGCACTTTGATATCTATGCCTGCATTGTAAAATGTGATGAACTTAAATGTACAGCTGAGATAAACATGGTTATCTGTAACTTAAAGAGACTGTAAATGGGAATAAAAGGGATGCATTACAACTAACTATAGAGTGTTGATAGGGGCTTAGAGTCTCTACTAACTATAACACTAAATGTATCTGGTACTTCCTTATTGGATTTCACTACTTTAACATTTAATCTCTCAGGTTTTTAATGAGATTTGTACCATTTGGGATTTTCTCTCCCTCCAGTACGGATCCAAGTCATCTAATAATAAAAGATGTAAAGATGTGAATCAACGTACATATTAAGAGATGTAACATCAGGTATTATGTATGATCTCCTGATGTTTATTATTTATTTACTTATTTTAACATTTTTATCCAAGCAAAACCCCAATGAAGGAGAAACCTCACCTCTTAGGTCCTACATAAATAGACCAAATGGATATAAATATAAGTAATGATTTCAAATTAGTTGAGGAAAAAAACTGAACTCTTTATTTAATCCAGAACTACTGTTTGACATATCACCACCTTTCTAAAAAAAAAAAAAAAAGGCCTGTAAATTTTTTTGATAAAAGTAATTTTTGTAAACAAAATGAAAAAGATATTACCCCCTTTCTATGGCTGAAAAATGATTGAAGCAAAGAAAATTAAAAAAAAAATCACTTTTGGCAAAGAATGACTTAAGCCATTATTTTAGGAAGGTGATGATGTGAATGTGTGCTCATTTTCCGTTCTGTCACATTGCCGCATCAAGTGTGTAATTTAAAAAAAGCATTGAGTCAGTTTGCCCACCGTCGTATGGGCGACACCTTTATACCATAAAATACTGACTGGAGTAATTACTAATATTATTTGAACAGTTTGCTCAGTCTTTTTCCTTTTTAAGCTTTGACTTACACAATCATTAAAACCCGTTTCATACGTACAAATAACGTTCGTAAAACTATATCCTTGCCGCCTGTAAATGTAATCTGAAAGCTGGTAAATTTTCCCTTAAAACTGTTCCAACAGTTAAGCCCCCATTTTGTTGGTTCCTGTGTCAACCGTCTGGACTTGCTTTTCACAAACTCCCACACCCAAAATGGAATTAATCGTGGATTAGATCAAGTTGTGGGAATCCCTCTGAAGCAAGGAAGTGATCCTGGGCGGCGGCGAATCCTCTTCGTTTTTTTTTTCTTTTCCGTTCCAGTCGCGTCTCGAATAATCAGCTGTCGGCCTGTGAGCCTTTTGGGAGACCCATTCCAGCTGTACCATCCGTCACGTCACTCCTAATAATACACACTGACAACAATGTTTGGAGGGTCTGCCTGACTCACGGGGTGAGGACCAGGACTATATATAATGTCAGGCTTGCTAGCAGAGAAGGCACACACACAGCAAAACAACAATCAGCCCATCAGAACAAACTCTTGAAGCAGTAATAACCATGTCACAGGTAGGTTATGTCAGATGTTTTGTTTGTTTTGCAGGCTCTTGCTTCCCTACAGAATTCAACATTACGTTCTTGCTGTTGCACTATTTAGTCAGGCGAGGTGAAAAAGAAGAAGCGGCCACCGATAAAGGAGGAGGACTTGAAAGGAGCTCGCAGTAAACTGGGCCTGAAGGGCGAGGTCAAAAGTAAGACCTATGAGGTCATGGTGGAGTGTGGTAAGTACCGTCTTTCAATAAAGTAGTTTCACTCTGACACTGAAACATCAGGAAATTAGTGCAGTCTTTAAAAAAAAACTTAAAAAATAGCTATTCCTCTCTTAGATAAGTGCTTGGTCCAAAAAGTGTACAGTGTTTGTTTTGTACAAAGTTTGCCTGTAAAGCTTAAAGATCAAGACAAGACAGTGAGAAATGAGCAGTATGAAACATTAACTTGTGAAAGTGGAAAAGTGGAAATAAAGTACTGTAGATAGATTAATTTGTGTATGCCTTAGTGTCGTTAAACTGAGAATATCCATATATATATCCATATATATTTGTCAGAATAAAACTAACAAAATGAAGAAAAAAAAAAAAAGAAGTTCCCTGACCGGGAATCGAACCCGGGCCGCGGCGGTGAGAGCGCCGAATCCTAACCACTAGACCACCAGGGAGATGTGGCAATAGAATGATTACATCAAATATGAGTGTAACAGTAGCATATTTTTATTTTCTACAGTCGTCATCGTGTTTAATTGCGGTGGGCAGTCGCTGGGTTTAGGTACTTGTTTTTAATAATGTCTGTTTTCCTGTGTTCAGAGCGTATGGGGAAGGTGGCTCCATCTGTGTTCAGTGGCGTCAGGACGGGCACAGAGACGGTTCTTGCTCAGCCTGCTGCTCCGAAGGATCCTTCAGCCAGTGTGTTCGGCAAATAGTCACCGAAGTAAAAAAAAAAAAAATGTCGCTTTCACAGTCATTAACAGGACGGTGGTAAATGTAAAGTGTATATTTGTGAAGCTTAAGGGGGACGAATAAGCTAGTTTTGCTCTGACATTGTATTTTGATGTGGATGTTTGTTATGTTGTACTTTTTTGTATTTGCCCATCTGTTCGAATAAATATTCTTTCCTTTGTTTAAACGTATTGAAAACGTTTGAATTTCCAAAAATGTTTCTTACTGTTATGTGCTTTTTCAAAATTTTCTCTAAATTTTTAATAACCGTGTTACTTGAACAACACAACTGAACAGTTTTGATTAAAAGACACGGTTTGTTTTTTAAAACCAATATAAATGCAAAAAATGTATAAAACCAATGCTTTTTTTTTTGCACGTAGGTGTCCATTTAACTGCCAGACTATGCTGTCAGAAGCTTTATATTCTCTGCACAGTGAGCAAATAAAGGTTTAAAGTACCTTACCGCCTAAGCATGAAGACCAAACCTGTCAAGTCTGCTCTGACTAACAGTGGATTCTGGCTTCCTTTCATAGGTTCTGGTCGGAAAAGGAAGGCTTGATTGGACTACAGGTGTGAATATTTGGTTCTTATGCACCAAGGATTCTGTGGAGCCATTTGTGTATTAAAGGGAGTTGTTCTTGAATGCCAAAGAGGGCAGATTTGATAAGTTGTGGAGTGAGGAAGAAACACCTTGATAGTCTGCCCTGGTGTTTATGTGACACCGTAGAGGTCTGTGCTAGAGCAGATTGACCAACCTCATGAGACTACGCAGATATCCTCAAGCAGAAGAGGGGTGATATTCTAAAAATGTACATTGCAGGCTTTTGAATCGCAGAAAAAACACGTTATAGCAACTTTTCAAGCACTTTTGGATTTAGATAGCAAACCAGTTTGCCAGACACACTTTGACTCCGTATCATTAGTCAAAAGAGTTGATAATGTCTGTGTTTTGCTTCGAGTGGGCCTATCTGAGGTAATGTTGCTGCCTGCTCCGGAGCAAAAAGGCCCTTTTTGTTTCAGTGTGTGCAACGCAACACACTGCCAATACGGAGGAAACATTTTCTCGACAGCAACCTCGCAATTAGCCTTAGCATTCGAACGTACAGCAGTGACGAGATTCCTGGTGATGAAGGGGAACACAGAAGTGTATTTATTCATTCTTTTTTTTTTCTTTTTAGTTTCATTTTTGCTTCAATCGTAAAACCCATAAAAATTGTAAAATAACACGGCAGCTGTTATTTCTGCCGTGTTATTTGGGTGAGTTTCCCCAAATTCACCGCTTAATGAATTTGGGAAACTAGTGTCAACAGAGACATACCGTGCCATGAAACTGACTCGCCAGATGAAAAACAGAGCCCTGTGCCAGTTCAAATACAGATACAGCTCTCAGAAAATCAGAGTTCCAGCTCGAAAGTCACACAGAGCTTGCTTTGGACCTACGGCAAGAAAACAGTTTGGTTATGTTTTAAGGTGTGCAAGAAGCACACCGATACTCAAAGTCTTAAGTGGTAATTTGCACAGAGTGATGATTATATTTTCGACTTAAATTGTTTGATGTTTATTTCCAGTGCCGGAAATTGGCAGACATAAAACATGGGGGTGGGACAAAGTACACAGTATTTCAACATAGCACTCACTCACCTTGTTTTTGCAGGGATAACCGAGCTGCAGCACAGATACCTCACTGTGGCGCGGCATGGATGTGTTAGTTACATCACACACTTATCTCATACACTAAATACAGTCATAATTGTTAGTGCGTGTATTGTTTTTCTTCTATATTTTTCAGCTACAGCTTTCTAGCTAGTTTTATTTTCTTTTTTTTTTTTTTTTTTTGGTTTTTCTTTTTGCCAAATGTAAGTTTAGTCACAGGTTGGGTTTGAATGGAAGCATTCAGATATCCACACCTTTTTTTTTTCCTTTTTTCTTCTCCTTCTTCTTCTTTCAGCTTTATAAGTACCGTGTTTGTACCTCCAGGTCTCAGTGGTGGGAAGTAACGAAGTACAAGTACTTCGTTACTGTACTTAAGTACAGT